GGGGGGGGGGGGGGGGGGGGGGGGGGGCAGCGGAGAGTTAGCAGAGTCAGAATAACGGATACGGGCCGAACGGCTTTTCAGAAACTATAACGACAAACTGAATCATCGGAGACGTGAGATGTTGTCTCAGGAAAACTCTTCATCGTCACCCGGGGTGACACTTCCTCACCCCTGTGATGTCACTCTGTGGCTGTATGTTTAAGGCGGACACGTGTCGGTTGCCAGGTTACAGAAATGTAAGAGTTGATTAGTCATTGTCTTCGCTCACACGAGGAATGAGTTGACTCCCGCGAGCTGTTTCCAGAGAACTTAATGATGACTAATTATAAAAGCAGGTTATGTAAAACAGAGTCTTACCACTAACACGAGGATCATGGGACCTTGGTAGATGTAATCAGTGTAAACACCCGCTCGCTTCCCGAACCAGCACCTGAGACAACAACCAAAACAAACAGTCGTGTTCACTTCCAACAGGTCGGATGTATTTGTACTGTCACTCGTCGTCCTCCGTGAAACAACCCACACTTCAGGTGGTGTTGACATCAGGTTTACGATCTGAGGTTTCAGCAGTGGACGGTGATCATAACGTGAAGTACACAGCGTTCAGATAATATTATAACCGACAGCTCGTCACCGTCTGTTTGTGGATCAACAAAAAAAAACTGCTCGACAGATTTCAAGAAAAAGGACGTGATCAGGAAACTGATCCAGGATTCTGCTCTACCGTTATTATGGGATGAGCTTATTTATTAATTAATACATTTTTTACATTTTCATTGATTTCTCAGAGACTCTTGATTTATGTTTCATAAACGTGCAGACTTGGATTGTGTGTATTTGTGTTGTGTGTTTAATGGTGTTGTGAGTCTTTGCTTCAGTTTTGTGATTCTTGTGATTTCCTGTTTCTCATTGTTCACTTCCTCTTTGTTTTCACACCTGAGCCTCGTTGTCTGTCCTCCCTTCAGTATAAAGGCTTTCGAATCAGATGTGGTTTTTTTTCCTGGCGCTTTTCCTTTGTCTCTTTTTGTTATTTGTGTATTTTGTATGTTTTGTGTGTGAGTGTGTGTATTTCTATTTTTATGGACAAACAGCTCGATTGGAGCAGAATCAGCCTGATCCTTAAAGGGTTTTAAATCACAGATGAAACCTCGAGCAGTCGAGCTCATCCCTCCTCAAAGGCCCAACAGACCCTTAGATCCAATCAAGCTGCACCAAATTACACACACTTATAAATATCAGTTGTTCTTCATCAAGCTCCTGAATTATTCTCTTAGAAATCAACCAAAATGTTGGAAAACCTCCTTTTTCATCCTGTTGAGCAAAGTGAAAATGATAAATCTAGATTTGCACAGATCGATGTAATGATTCAATTTTCAATCAATTAAGAGACATAATTAAATCATATTAAACCTTCGGTCAAAGAGGAAACGCTCTGGGCGGAAGTGATGTGAGTGTAATGACAGCAGGTTATTAATAGAAGCTCGTGTCTTTGATTCAAAAGCAGTTTGACTTTGCTTTTTATCACCAGAGCAAAGAAAACGAGTTCAGAGGGAGGATCTTACTTCTCGTTGTCGTAGTAGAGCTTTCCAATGGCCCACGCCACGATTATGGGGAACGGTATACCTGTGAGGCAGAAGAGACAAAGTCACACATCACATTGTCTTTCTGTTCAGACCTCAGAACGCCCCTCCAGGGATTTCTCTCTGCAAAATGAAATCCTTTTTCTTTTGTCCCCCCCCCAGGCGTCGCAGCGGCCCCTGCCAAGTTCTGTCAGGAGCGATTGTTGCTGGCGTGCAGCGATCGGCTGATTGGAGCCAGGACCTGTCACCGGCTGAGTATTTCTGTGTGAATGAGAGAAAAGCCTGACGCCCGCTGACGAGGATGCAAAGTGATCTTCTGACGAAGTGACTGGTAAGAGAATAATAACAACCAGCGAGCGGCCATTACTCACAAGTACATGACACTGAGACGAGCGCCAGGGCCTCTCCAGCTGCCACGTTACACACGAGTACTTACGCTCTTGGATCTATATCTTCTTCTCCTGACGAGGTTTTACTTTTATTCGCTACGACCTGCTACTTGAAACATCCCATATTATGCAAAATACACTTTTTTTAGTTCGTTTCCAAACCGGAGAGTCGTCGTATGGATTTATCCTCAGAGCGAGTTGAGTGAATTATTAATGTGACATGAGTCTCAGTTTGATTCGCACGGATACAGTCGATACAAACGACCTTCACAGGGAAACGTTTTACTTTCAGACTTTCACTTGACTCAGTACTTTTATTTTTACTTCTTTATATTTTTAATCTGAACTTCTACTGGAGTGTGTGCACACGCCCACAGTCAAGGCCCCAGATTAGATGAAGATAGGAGATGAAGATTTTCTTGTTGTTTTCCCGTCTGCACCCCGCTGCCTTCATCATCTAGAGAGCGGAATAAAACGTATTTATTTTCCTGAAACGTTCTGACGTCTCCTCTTCTCACGGAGCCTTCACACTCGCCCTGGGGAAATATAATCCAGCCGGCACAATACACCTAATCTCCGCAGCTCATAGTTTGGTTTGACAGTGTGAAGCGCAGCGTTAGTGGACTCCACATCGACGCATTTCTCAGCTGCCACATGAAATCCTGGCGTCTCCATCACGGTGGAGTCTCCCATTGTTGAGCAAATTTTATTTTGAAATGAAACAGAAAGGGAGATTTTCAGGTTCGACTTCATGGGATCGTTTAAAATCTCGTTTTTAAACTGTAATTAAAGGCTTAATTCAAAGTTACTAAGTATTTTACTGTAAAGATCCATTAAAAGAAATGAATGAGAATCAAAGTTTGTGTTTCCATGATGTTGTTGGACTTTAGGTTCAATCACAGGAAGTTGAGACGGCATTAAACAATAGAAGAAGAAAGAGAAGAGGAAGCAGCTGCAGCTCCAATAATCACATGTTTCTAAAAAACATCCGACAGACGTGAGCCGCGGCCTCGTGTACGTACACCAGCCGATGCAGATGAACATCCACTTGCGCAGCTTGTCGGTGGAGTAGGTGAGGACGATGGCGGTGTGCAGGTAGCAGCCCTCGCCAAACATCCAGAAGAAGTTGGTGGAGTGGAAATAGTTGAAGGAGGCGGTGACGAGGCGACACCAGATCTACGAAAACAGAACAAACACGTGAGCACGAAACCAGCACGCTGACAGAACCCTCATTTTGTGTATTTGTACAAACTCTTGTATTGGTATGTTGTATTTATACTGTTTACACGTTTGGGAGCTCAGTTACGGTTCCAGTGTTTCTGTTTTCTTGAAATTGATTTTTATGGAAATGAACTGACTTCAAGTAAATAAATAAAGTGAATAAACCAAAAAAATAATCAATACGATGTGAACAGGATTTTTCATTGAAATATATTGAATGATTTTCACGTCTCAAATTCAATTACACCCGATTGACTGATGTTTTTTTCATTTCATTTAAAAAATCTTTATTCTGCCGTGTGTGAGTTGATCAATGAAGTCGCGTCTGGACGAAAATGTTTCTGATCTACTGATGTGTGTGTGTGTGTGTGTGTGTGTGTGTGTGTGTGTGTGTGTGTGTGTGTGTGTGTGTGTGTGTGCATGCACGTGGTAATGAAAGCATTGATCTGTGACACGCACCACGTTGCTCTCGTGCACCTCGGGGCTCATGGTCATTTGGACGATGAACCAGGCGGCGTTCCTCAGGATGAAGGCGGTGATGAGGTTCCAGTGGATGATGTTTCTCAGGCAGCGGATGCTCCTGCAGAAGAGGAAGAGGAGGAGAAACAACTGAGAGGTTTTTCTC